GGGGGGGGGCTCGCTGACTCTGTGTGAAAATCGGGCTTGGCACCGGTGCTAACTGCGTGGCCTGCTCTAGTTGCCTCGGTCTTCCTCTGCAAAGCCGATGTGCGCCTTGATGTCAATGCCGAGGAGATCCGGGATTACCGGTATGTCACGCGCTCGGAGCTGCAGCGCATGCTGGGCGACTCGCAGTTCACCTTCACGCCGTGGTTCCGGCTCTATTGCGAGAACTTCTTGGATGGCTGGTGGGAGGCGATCTGCGCGGACTCGCTGTCGGACCTCAAGGCTGATTGCACAATCCATCGGCTATGAGAATCTTCGGTGCGGCATTGTGGTGTAGGGTGGGTGGTTTTCCGGCTTTCGCTTTTTTCTTTGCTTTCATGGAGCAAGACGTATGCTGGCGGCGCTGGGCTGAGTACATCGTAGTTTATGAACCTTCTCGGGTAGTGGAGATAAACAGAGGGCAGAGCCACGGATTCCCATGTCATTGTGTGAAAACGTCAAGTACTGCATACGATTCGATCTTAGTTCAATTGAGGGCCCAAGAAGAAGAAGAAGAAGAAGAAGATGTAGCACCTCCAACCTAGATAGTTGGGCCCAAGGAGCGGTGCAGTTGCGTGTAGCGGCACGTCTATTGCAGTCATTTTCATACGCTTTGGGTCGATTTGGAAATTTATGTCCAGATAGTTGAATACAGACACGTGCCCTGCTACGCAAATTCCAACCCGAGTTAATCCGAAAAGCCTCGTCCAACAGCCCTAGGTGGAAGCGGCGCGTTTTCGGGACTACTTCGCAGCTATTAGCTAGCACTAGTGATCCAGGATGCGAGGTATATTCAAGCCGAGAATAGTGAGCGCTTCCAGCGCTAGTCGACGACATGTTGCCCGCCCCCGGGGCAGAAACCTGCGAGTCAATTCAGAGCCACTGGGGGAAAGTTATGAAGGAATTGCGGGCGCTGTATGTGTTGAGGTCGCAGCGGAAAACCGGACAGCCGGTGCTTCTGTCCCCGCCAGTCAGTGCGGATGGCGGATCCCGGCAACTTTTGAACGACGGCAGAAATATCATAAATTCTGCTGGTAGTGGACACACTCAGCTCAACAGGGGCTTGAGGCTTGCACCACAAATTGCAATTTTACTATCAGATACTTTTCGATCATGACCGACGTTGCAGTCATTGGCATTGGCCTCCGACTTCCCGGTGGAGTGACTACTTGTACCCAACTGTGGGACATGCTGGCAAATGGTGCGGATGGCTGGTCACCTCCTCCAGCAGGCCGGTTTGATGAAGAGGACCTGCAAGCATGGAAGAATGTAAGGCTCTCTCAACCCTAGCTTCGAGGTGCGGGCATTATCACACCTGAAAGGATGGTTAATCAATCATCGTTCGTTCCTTGACAGACTGAGGTGGAAGGTGCATACTTCCTGACTGAAGACATTGCTCGCTTCGACGCCGCCATGTTCCGGATCTCTCCTGAGGAAGCCCAGGCGATGGATCCGCAGCAGCGATTGCTCCTGGAAGTTACATACGAGGCGCTAGAAAATGGTGCGTACTGCGCCGGCTCATGTATCCTTCTGAAAAGATCGCCGCCCGCTGACCTGACTCAAAGGGGGCCTATCGCTGCAGTCCATCGGTGGCACCAACACGGCCGTCTTCGTCGGGACCTTCGCCCACGATTATGCGAGTCTGTCGACCAAGAACAGATGCGCGATCGGTGGCCACACTGCTCTGGGCGCCAGCCGGAGCATCCTTGCCAACCGCCTCTCTTATGTGCTGAACCTCAAAGGCCCCAGTATGACTATCGACACCGCTTGCTCGGCCAGCTTGGTCGCGTTGCATCAGGCCCGACAGGCCATCCTGAGTGGGGAGGCGGAGCAGGCCATCGTCGGCGGCGTCAACCTGATCTGCCAGTCTGACCTTCATGTTGGCCTCCACCAGCTCAACGTCCTATCGCCCAGCGGACGGTCGTATCCTTTTGACAGTCGCGCGTCCGGGTACGGTCGTGGCGAAGGGTGCGTCTCGGTGATCCTCAAACGGGTGGACGCCGCGGTCCGCGACGGGGACCCCATCCGCGCGGTGATCCGGGCCTCGGGCGTCAACTCAGACGGCCAGACTGCGGGCATCGCCTTCCCCAACGGGGAGGCACAGGAATCTCTGGTACGCAGGGTCTACCAGAGCGCAGGCCTACGCTTGGAGGACACGGTGTTGGTCGAGGCGCACGGGACAGGGACGCCGACCGGTGACGCCGTCGAGGCAAGGGCTATCGCCAAGGTCTTCTCCAACCCGCAGCTCCATGTGGGTTCCGTCAAGGGGAACATCGGTCATCTCGAAGGCGCGAGTGGCTTGGCTGGACTCGTCAAGGCCATTGTCTGTCTGGAGCGAGCCATGATTCCTCCGCAGTGCGGCTTCTCTCATTTCAACACGAACATCCCCCTTGACAAGTGGGCAATGCAGGTTAGTCCCCCCCCCCCCAGTGCTGTGCCAATAGTGTACACCTTAAACCATTCACTGACCCGGGTACGTTTGGAATGGCATCAACAGATCCCGCGCGAGTTGAACCCATGGCCTCACACAGGGCTCCGGAGAGCCTCCGTAAACAGTTTTGGTTTTGGCGGAACCAATGCCCACGTTGTTCTCGATCACGGGTTTAGTTCCAGTTTCACGGCTGGCACAGCATGGCCACGAACCTCATCTGATCTGCAGATTGTCGAGAATGGTCACTCAACCGACAGACTCCGCAGACTGTTCATGATTTCGGCGAACGACCAGACATCCGGCTCGATGATGATCCAGCAGCTGGTGGACTACCTGAAATCTGTTCGCCAGTCGCATCAAGACCAGTTTCTGCAAAACTTGGCATACTCCCTCGCCCAGCGGTCGCGGTTACGGTATCGTCTCGCGGTCACAGCCTCGTCTATTGATGAATTGGCTCTCAGCCTATCGCGCGAGATGAGTCAGTTGACCAGGCTTGCTCGAGCCCCCGCTATTGGATTCGTATTCACGGGCATGGGTGCACAGTGGGAGCGGATGGGCTATGACCTTTTCCAGCGTTATCCGGTGGTCCGCAAATCTTTTCTTCAAGCTGACGAGTGTTTGAAAGCACTTGGCTGCACGTGGAAAGCGACAGGTGGGTTTCGAGCTTCCTAGTCGAGATCACAATATCGTGACCCGATCTCTGGCAATTTTGACTGATATTTTGATATTACGCAAATAGACGAAACATTCCGATACGGAGAGGTCAGTAGGATCAATCACCCCGATGTCTACCAGGTCATCACAACAACGTTGCAGCTGTGTCTGATTGATCTGCTGTCGTCTTGGAATATCCGTCCCAGGTCGGTGGTGGGCCACTCCGGTGGCGAGATAGCCGCGGCATACGCTGCGGGTGCCTTAAGCTTCTCAGACGCATTGAAGGTGGCCTTTCACCGAGGTCAGCTGATTGCGAGCTTGGAAGGTAGTCCCAAGCGAACCGCCGGAGGAATGCTCGCGGTCGGGTGGTCGGCCGAGCAGGTTCAGCCTTACCTGTCCCAGCTGGAGAATGGCGTTGTTGCTGTAGCCTGCTATAACAGTCCGAGGAGTGTGACGCTGGCTGGTGACTTGGCCGGCATTCGCGAGCTGGAGAAGATTCTTCCCGAGCACGGAGCTCTCGTCAAGCGTCTCAATGTCGGCGTAGCGTATCACTCGGCCCATGTGCACCAGCTGGCCGAGCCTTGTCGCCAGGCACTGTCGGACATTCGGCCCCATCACAGGGCTAGTGATGTACACTTTTACTCTTCGGTGGCTGGAAGCCGCATCGAAACCACCGAGCTGGGCCGCGAGTATTGGGTACGGAACATGACCCAACCCGTCCGATTCTGCGACGCCGTCTTTGCTATGTGTCAGCCGTCCGGAATCTCGCGCAAATTGGACCTGTTGGTGGAGGTTGGGCCTCATGCCACCCTTCTGGGTCCGGTCAGCCAGATTCTGAAAGACTTGGACATGCAGAAGAGTGTGGGCTACGCTTCATGCATAATGCGAAAAGCGGATGGATTGTCCAGTATGCTGGAATTGGCAGGCACCGTGGTCATGAAAGGTGGTGCAGTGGACATCGAAGCTGTGAACGTTCCATCACAGGTATGGCAGGCTCCTCCTCGATTCATCGTCGACCTCCCGCCTTATCCGTGGAATCATGCCCGGCGATACTGGGTGGGGACTCCGGCAGCTGTCAGTGCGGATAGAGCTTGCTCCCCAATGTCCGCGGAAGACTCTTCCACCTTGGACGAGGGAGGGCAGAAGAACGAGACGTCTGACAAACTCGTCAAGCAAATGATCCGCTCGCTAAACGCTGCTGCCAAGTTCTTTGCAGAAACAGCCCTAGATGAGTTGACCGATGACGATATCGGTCGCTTGAGCGACCAGCACCGCTCTCTCGTCGCCGCCCTCAAACTTTCCCGGGATCAAGATTTGACTCCTCCCGATGTGCGAACCAAAGAGGAAATTGTTCATGCTGCGAAGGGTTGTGGTGCGGAAGGGGAGTTATTATGTAGGATTGGAAACAACTTAGGCCAGATTTTGCAACGCAAAGTACAGCCTTTGTCTCTGATGCTTGACGGCGATCTTCTTGCTGAATACTACCGCTCGGCGATTGGGATGCATCAGTGCCAAGATCAGGTATCGGAAGCAATCCAGAGGACAGTGTCCGAGAACACCAGTTCACGAATGAGGGTTCTTGAGGTTGGGGCTGGAACTGGGGCGTCAGCACTGCGTATTCTCCAAGATCTAAGCAAGGATGCAAGTGGCTTGCCCTTACAACAATACGACTTTACCGATATCTCGCCTGGATTCTTTGCGAAAGCTCGACAAGTTCTCGCCCCGTGGGCGTCAAAGGTCAACTTCAAAGTACTTGATATCAGCAAAGATGTGGCGGCCCAGGGCTTTGAACCTGGGTTATACGACGTAATCGTGGCGGCGGATGTAATTCACGCCACACCAAGTATCCGAACGACAATGCGAAGTTTGAGACAGCTGCTGAAGCCTGGGGGTAAGCTCGTTCTTTTAGAACTCACCAATCCGCCGTTGAGATGGTCGATTATTTTTGGGACACTGCCAGGGTGGTGGGCAGGTATGTGCTGTTTGTCTTGCTATCATCCCCTGACATCTCGGAAGCTGACAGATGACCCGTGGGATATAGGTGTCAACGAAGGCAGACGTCTGGGACCCACCATCAGCGAAGCTGAATGGGATCAGGTCCTCGGCTCAACTGGCTTTTCTGGACTGGACTTTTGTGCCAGGGACTTCGAAGACCCCAGTCTATACCTCCATAGCGTGATGACATCCACTGCCGTCAACCGGACTCACCCTTATGTGATCATTTACAATGGCCACCATCCGCCCGCCGTTGTACAGGCACTCAAAGAGTGGTGTGAAGATCATGACTTGGGGGATGTCCCTGTCTATCCGATGGACTATGCCGGCAAGTCCGATGTCTTACTGCAGCAAGATACCGTGTGTATCCTGTTGAGCGGCTTTTGGAAAGAGGACTCGTTTGACGGGGCTTTTGTGGAGCAGTTGGTGGCTCTCATGGGCAAACTAAGAAGCATTATCTGGGTCACGGAAGGTGCGGTTTCTGCACAGAGCACACCGAACGCCTGTGTCGTCGACGCCATCACAACTTACCTCCGTGTTAAAGTACCTGGTAGAACCATCATTACCCACGAGCTTGTCGGTACCTTCCAGGACCCGGGCAAGGACTCCTCCAGGATGCTTCGTGAATCCTTGCAGTTGTTGTCCGGTCAATCGGATTTGCTGAATCTCCTGCCTTCCTCGTTACCCGATCCGACGCATGAAGACGAGAATTACCAAGTCAACGCAGCAGGCAAGCACCGGATCCTCAATAATCAACCAGTTAAGGTGCGCGTAAGCCACTGCCAAATTTTGCAACCTTGTTCAATCCCGAAGAAGTCTGCGGCATTTGACTCTGCCATGGCCAGCTTCGATGCGGTTCTAGAAGAATTGCTCCATGACATCCGGGAACATATCGCATCCTTGAATACACCAAGTAGTGTCATAAAGAGACTTGACAAGGTATATTGTTCTCCCTGCCAGCCCTTTTTTCCCTGCCCGCCCCTGCATGAGAACGTGACCTAATAAAAGTACAGTGTGTCCGCGAGTCGACACAGGGAGGCAAGCGGTCGCGCGGCCTGATGCCTCTACGAACTGGCCAGCGACTTCTGGCGCAAGGACTCACGGATCAGCAGGCACGCGATCTCTCGATTATTGGATGGATTCTTGAGATCGTGCACGCGGCCTACCTGATCGACGACGACATGATGGATGGGTCTATCTTCCGGCGCAACAAGCTCTGCCGGTACCTGCAGGCCAACGTCGGCCTAAGTGCCATCGGCGATGCACTCCTTCTGCGCTCATGTGCTCGCTACCTGCTTCGCAAATACTTTGCGACGCATCCGTGCTACATGCAGCTCCTCGAGGTCTTCGACGAGGCCCTCCTCCAGGAAGATCTAGGCGGGGTGGCGGACACCCACGTTGCCAAGTCGTCCTTCCAGGGCTTCCAGAACCATACCCGCCAGACGTACGCTTTCTTGGGCGTATCAAAGACCGCCTACAATACCGTCTATCTGCCGCTGGGGCTGGCAGTGCACTACCTGAGTCTCGCTACCCCCGCGAACCTCTCGGTCCTCAAGGATATATCGTTGCAGCTGGGCGTGTACTTTCAGGTTCAAGACGACTACCTGGACGTCTTCGGGGATCCGCGGACCACGGGCAAAGTGGGCACGGACATTGTCGAGCGCAAATGTACTTGGTTGCTGGTTGAGGCGCTGGAGAGGACCACTCCTGAGCAGATGCAGCATTTGGAGGTGGCTTTCGCTGACGGCAATACCGACGCAGCCAGAGAGACTTTCGAGGTGTTGGGGCTGAAAGAAAGGTACTCGGAATATGCGCAAATGACTCATATGATGATCTCTGAGCTAATCAGCAATGTGGATGAGAGTGAGGGTCTTGTAAAGGAGATCTTCGAAGCCGTCTTGTTGGACATCCATGGTCGGAATAGATAGGAAGCGGGATCGCCGGATGCGAATCCATCCTGTTTCGACAGCCCTAGATCAACATCATTTATCATAATTGCCCCCCCCCCCTCCCCATTAGATCATGTGAGTTGCACCGTAGCCGCTTGTAGGGTAAAATTCTGATGACTCTGGCCGCATTTGAAAAGCAGTCATGTGCTGCTATGACCGGCGGAGTGTCGGAGTCAGGACTGGCTGGCTATCTTCAAGTGTGACTATGTTTGAGGATATAGTGAGTATAGCACTGCTTCAAGGGGAGAAAATAGGCCAAAAGATCTTATCCCTATTTGTATCAAGGGGTTTGTACTGAGCATGAGAATGACATGGACATTATGAGGAAGAGGAGAGAATGAAGAGAATTGCAAGCGGTCAGCCTCAGTAGCCGCCTTAGGATTCACGCACCTGCGTTCCATGACTTTCTCCCAACTTGCTCACAGCAACCATCTTCTATTTCTTCCAGCTTCAGTTATCGAAAGTTACTCACCCAGTCATCTTATGACACGCTGTTTGTAGAAATACTTATAGTTCAAGCGCAACAATGATATTCAGCATCTCTCAAAGCAACCTTTCTATACAGCACGGAAAACCATATTCCAAGTTCTAGCGCCAGGCAAACCCCCCCCGGCGGCCCTCGCCACTATAAACCACCAATACAGAACTAGCTAGACCATCAAAAACTATATCCAGCCAGCGATGAGGCCGATGATACATCGGCGGTGTTGGGAATGACTTGAGCGCCCGTGGAATCAATTCCAAACAACTCCGATAGATCCAAGTCGTCGGAGCTGAACTCCGGCCATTCGTAGTCAGAGGTGACCACAGTCGCAGTCAACGAGGCTGCTTCGAAGTTGCCGTCCCGGCAAGAGTTCTCGAACAAATCCAGCGTATCATGAAAGTCCAGTGCGAGGCGCTCTCGGATGCGTGTCACGAAGGCCCTGGCGGCGACGTGGTCGGTGCCCAGGACAATATCGCGTTGATAAGTGACTTTCGGGTCATTCCAGTCCCTATGGCCAGACAAGGCCTCTCCCAGCGCAGAGGCACAGTCAAGGCGAGTCTCGTAGGGCTGCTGCTGCTGTTGCTGCTCATGACTGCTCGGGACAAAAGTGGCTTCCGTGCTAGTGAGGGTGTCTAACAGGAGGGCATCACTAGTAGCTATGCAAGGAAGATCACCTTCGCCCACCATTACCTGTGACAGATTCAAGACTGCACTACCCGAGAAGGTGGATTCAGCCCGTCGAAGAGTTGGCTTCATGATGAGAAGATCCCCAGGATTGAGCGTCACGTTCACAGGCTGCAGATTCAAGGCGGGTTGGGCTTCTGTGTGAGATCCGGGAACCAGGTTGACCAGATGGTTGACAGCGAGGGTGGGCAGTAGGATGCTGCTCTGAATGCCGTTCTCGCTCTGGTCCCATGGGAGGTTCGGGGGTGCCAATTGCTGACGATGCATGATGGGTGCCACTCCGGGGCAATGAACAAATTTTGACACCCTATCTGGGCGACAGGCCACAATAATCGCATAGTAGAGTGGGTCTTGCTGGATCATCTCCCGAAGAAGGTCATAGCACTTTCTCCCTAGCTCTTGCCCGTTATTGTCGTATGCATACCGAGTCAATGCATCTTGCACTCGCTCTCCGATGCCATAGCCTTTCAAATAATTGAGGTATCCTGGAACAAGGAGATAACCCTGCTTCTGCCAAAAGTCCCAGTCTAGGCTTGCCCCTAACAACTGTTCAAGAGTCGAAGTCTCCACCACTGTTACATCGTTGATATCGAGCTCAGGCGTTGCCTCTGGGGGGATGGTGCGGATGTCGAAGTTCGCCAGCTCTTCTGCCTGACTCTGTTCGGCGAGTGTCTGCTTCGCTTCCCCATTTCGGAACTCCTCCAGAGCCTGGATGATGTCCCACCGGGACTTTTTCCCCGTGTCTGTCTGCATCATCAACTGATACAACTCTCCAAGGTGCTGGTCACATATTTGGCTCCAGGAAACCGAGTAAATCCAGTCCGTGAACTGATCCCATTCAAGATCACGCATTGGTGATTTTGTCTTCGAGAGTAGAGCCGTGAAAGGAATGCAGCTTGGTGCACATTTGCATATGTCATCAATCTCAGTGGCTGCGACGGATTCATCTTAAAGAAAAATGGTTTGTCAGCCCCGATGAAGCTTATCTAGGATTGCAGAACCAGTTATCAGGGACCTTACCTGTCCTTGGCCGCCTTTTAGGCTGAAGGTGCTGAATAGTCTGCAGGGCACGGTTGACGTCGCTCGCCATCAGATAGGGATATTTTCGACTGCGGGCAGGGCGCTGCTTCATCGATTTGTGGAGCAAATCGACCGCCTCGGTCAGTCGGCTCGCTTTACTGAGGGCTGCTAGCAACGAGAGCAGGTGCTTGCTCCAGAAAGGTGGCTGAAGCTCGCTCGGGAGCGCCGAAACATAGCTAGTTCGCCAATTCTGCCAGATGAGTCTGGCGCTCAGCTGTTTGGCACGATCGCTCTTGCTGTGGCGTAGCAGGACTGGGCTGACAAGGTTGTTATAGTCAATGGATTGACTGTACTCTTCCAGGCTTCCAAACCTCGTGGACCAAATCTGGCTTTGGCGAACATGGTCCCACGCTGCGCTAATCAGCGCAGCTGCTTGCTCGTCGATGGTGGTGCCCCGGGTCAAGACGTCGGTAAGGACATCCAAATGTTCCTCCACGGGGTACGACTGCAAGAAGCACCGGACTATATTCTCCGGACGACTGCCCGGGCTCTGCAGTAACCGTTCTGTAATGACATTCGTATAGCCCATGTTGGTTTGATTACTGCCATGTCTTCTTTCTGTGGCTTCCCAATGCTATCTCAACCCCACTTATATATTGCATCGTCTAAAGTTTTCTGGTTCATCGCGCTTAGAGCGGACCCACATTGCAGATTGCCGCTGTCAGGAGTCTCGCCCTATGTCAAAAAGTATCGCACGGATCTTCATTCCTTCACTCAAAGCCCGAGGCGTTCACGACACCGGTGACACCTACATCCTCTGTTCACTGCCAGGGACAGCTCGTAATGTAACCTCCGCTAACCATTCTCGCAAGCTAACAAGGCACTAAAGCCTATAGTCTGCTTCATGTAGTCGCTCTTGTTGCCTGATTGGCCCACAGATCAATTATCCACCCAACACTAATGACTCTCCAGGCTTTTCCCATGTCCGACAAATCGGAAATGGTGGGGTTATAGTCCGATCCGGGAGGACTGGCCTCGATCGAAGCCTTGGTGGACTATATGGAGACGAGAGGAAACACCCAGGAACGCCCCTATCGAATCTGCGATTCCTTCCAAGACGTGATCAAGCCTATCAACCATATGGCTCTCCGTACACTAAAGATCTGCCCAGACCTCCTCCTCTCCCTGAAAGAGCTACACTGTTGGCCCGAAGACGGGGAGAACGGACGGGCAAGGTGACGGCAGCTCCACATGCATTACTGCAGTCCGGCAATAAGAGGTTGATCTGATGTCTAAGATCAGGTGCGATTTAGCCAAGCATCAACCACCCTGTGACGGCAGGACAGAGACAACCTACCGCGGAAGTTCATGCGTTTTCTCGATCGCCACCCATCTCGTTACATATTTCCTCATCTCGCGTTTCCCGTCCGCCCAACAGGTGTGCACCTCACACATTTCCTGGTATGCGGAACGAGTAATGCTAGCTTTGCACATAGTTTCATGGGAACTCGTATATGCACGAAGATCTCACACGATCCGCAGAAATATCTCCTCTCCGACATTCAGGTAGCGGGGGCCTGCGAATAGGGAGTTGACCGGTGCTCCACATGCAGAGCCTGCACATACTGTTGCATAGGCTAATCAGTATACAGACGCTGCTACCGGGCACTCTGTCTGGTTCGTCTTCGAGGCTGCTAGGAGGAAACGCAGGGGCTGAGCATGTGCGCCGGAAGACGGCCATTCCACGTTCCCCACGCCACCCCCCTGCGCACTGCATAATGGCTTGGCTGAAGAAACAGAAACCATAGACTAACTTTACGCCACCAATCCTATCAAGGCTAGTTAGTATGCAGCTGCTGCATGGAACTCCACCTAAGGCTCCTGGATTCCTGGTTCTGACTCCCGGTGGCCCTGCACTCCCGGCGATCGACATTCGGAGAACTTATTTTGCTAAAGCCACACGTGAGCTGTCATCGATTCGAGGACGGCTCTGCACATAGGGCAAGCTGAGTTTTGCGCAAGTAGCACTCTCTCCGCCATAGAACTAGCACATAGGACTTAGCGTTGTAAAAATCTCAGCTCGAAAAAGAAAATATGGGAAAGGAAAAGTGAATGATAGAAAAAGAAAAGAATTGTGGAGAAAAATAAAAAGCAAAAAGTGACCGAGAGTCACTACGTCAGTGCACAAGCAAATCATTAGCCTTACGTATCCGGGACTGGCCAACAGCAGCGTGACGATCTCCGCCGTGACCAAGACCCAGTGTGCTAAACCCTCATGTGGAGCTTCCAGCCCTCATATTTTCGATCTCGGCTAACCCCCTGGCGCGATCCGCGGCTCCAGATCATGATTACTCGGGTGTTGGCTGGCGGGACCACCGGCAGTGTGATTGAGGAGTCTGCGAATAGCCTCGTGAAGCGCTCGCCTTCCGATAAGCTCTGCTGCTCCTTGACTTTCATGCTGCATCCAGACCCGAGACCTCCACACTTCACCACCTGCTTTCGAAGACAGCGATAGCGATGATATGTGCACCTGCTGCAAGAATATCATTGAGTGCCTACCGGTGATAGTGGTGATCGCCTGTCTACTTCTCGTCGATGGATTTAAATTCCCCATCGCAGGGGTCACCGCAGCTGGGGCTCTGGTGGAGCGTATCGCTTATGGCTGCAAGGTGACCAATCTAGTCGGCGGCGCTATGAATATCATCAAGGCTGACTCAAGAGCAACAATTCCTTGCCTCCAATTCTCCGCTCAAGATATGCGCTATCGAGGCCAAGAGAGGAGCTCGAGTCTCTAAATGCTGCTGATATCGTTCGAGACGCCTTTGCTTAGTCTAGCCGTCACTGTAGCTCTCGTTACATGGGTTATTTCTACGACCAATTTGCTGCAATCAGGTGGGATGCGATGGGCATGAACATGTTGAGCAAGTGCGTGCAATGATCCCTGGTGGCCATTCAGGAGGATCATCTCTCAAACATGCGGAACTGCGCTTTTCAGGGTTCGCTGCTGCAGCTAGAAGCCCAACGCGGTTAATTGGAACGGAGGCCGGGGGTAGATGGTAGTCACCTACACACAGATCCCCACCACGGTTGTGAAAAGTGGTGTCGGAGGCGAGCCTCCCCTCGATAGTAGCGCGAAACTGCTCCATGTACCACATTTGGAGCGCATCACATGGAATCCCTGCCTGTGTCAACAATATTGAGGTGGACTCCTCCTTATCTATTGGACGGGATGTTGCCCCGGTTGTGGAAAGCAGGGAATATCTGATTGCTCGCAAACACAGTCTCCCAACTTCCCCAAAGTGAGACGAGTGTCTCGATATGTAATGAAGTGTACGTGATGGAAATTTATGTCATACATTGTTTAGTACCTAGAGGTAAATTTGACTCACAAATAGTCCCCGAACCGATCCTCCACTACTTATATTTTCGACTTTCAAGGGCTATTCGAAACCATATATCCCGAGTTGCGACCAATTGCCAGCCTCGCGTCCGAGGCCCTGTTGCATTATGCTCGTCAATGCTAACTTCTAAGTGAACTTCAACAACCTACTGCCTGAACAAGCATGTGTTCACTAGATTGAGTGAGGTAATCCTGAAATAGTAAGATCTCGGGAAATAACACAGCTAGCCCTGGTTGTTTAAGATTTGACGAGTAGTGCTGCCACTAGAGGCATCCACAAATAACACCCGGCCTCGCATGTGCAGTAACGCAGGCAAGGCATAACAGGAGTAAAATAAGGAAAGCTTGAGGAGCCCCCTCCCTCTCAGAACTCAACATTCTACAAACGATGTGAGGGTTCCTCCTCTCCCACCGCGGAGAATCAAGCACATCCTCACTACTCCAACAGCACCTCCCGCAACCTCACAACCTCATCCTCGGAGAACCCAAGTTTCCTCAGATACTCCTCCCCACCACCATACCTCTCGTTGAATAGCCCCAGAAAGCCAGACATATACTCCTTCGCCGCACAGAGATACGATCCAGGGGCAGCATAGCAAACCGACCTCGCTCCTGCCCCCACTCCCAACTCATCCCCTTCTCCCTCCCCGTGAAGCCGCCGCAACCCCTCCATGCGCTCCCGCATCCGTCCCGCCACCTCCCCCTCCGAGCGATGATAATCCTCCACCACATCCGCGTCCGCCACGCCCAGCACCTTCAGCAATATCGCCACGAAGACGCCCGTGCGATCTTTCCCGAGCTCGCAGTGCACCAGCACACTCCCGCCCCCGGCTGCCGTTGACGGATGCCGCAGGAGGTAGGCAAAGAGTTCCCGGAAGGCCGGGGCGGCGGACTCGGCGAGGAGGAGGTAGGTGCGTGCGTAGGCGGCGGTGCGGATCGCGGCGTCGGCGGCGCAGATCTCCGCGAGGAAGCGGGCGAGGGTGGCGCGGTGGTCCTGCACCTCTGCGGCGGGGACGGGGTGCCGAATCGCGCACTGGACGAGGGATGGGGTGGATGTCGTGAGTTGATGGTGTTCGGCGGTGGAGCGGAGGTCGAAGATGGCGGTTAGGTTGAGGGAGGTGATCAGGCTGTCGAGCTGGTGCTGGGAGAGCTGGTCGAGGCTGCCAGACCGGTAGATTAGGGCTTTGCGGACGCGGTGGTTGCTGGTGGTGGGGAGGCCGCCGATGTCGCGGAAGTTAGGGGGGTAGTAGGTCGTAGGCGGGATTTGAGTCATCTTGGCTAGCGGTTTGCTGCTGGGGCTTTCCTTTCAGGAGTACATTATCTCGTTTCATCCATGGATCTGTGTTCAAATTCGTGTTCTCTGTTTTATGTTTCTGTGCCTTGTACACTGGGCCACGGGCGTACTCCCGGGCCAACGAGCTCCGGCTGTCGTGGCCAATACACAAAGGGTGACAAGGTCGCAAATGCTGTAGAACTAGAAACTAGTTGCCTAAAATTGGAGAAACAGTAACAATCGGACCTATGCTTGCATTCTCAGAGCCCCAGGCTTGAGTCATACCATAGCTGTGATAGTATCTCGAGACACCTGACTCTAGGTAGACTTAACCTACAGTCAAGCCAAGGAGGATATAGGTAGAGGAGTTATAACCTAAGGTTGATGATATGCTTTGTTTCTATATCGAGCTCGTCTTACTCAGCCTGATATACAAAGATTTCATATCCTATGTTTATGTGAACCGTGAGGAAGGTAACTGTTTTCCAAACTCATAAAATATCTTCACTTAGAGCCAGTAGAGGGGGGTCCAGATTCCAACAGATACAACATACAAATACCTTCCAATTTATCCAGGGTCAAAATTAGATAACTTTAGGGGTTCTTTCAAGATCTTGATCAGAATTTGCTTTCAAAGAGAAGCATTCAAACAGATGGCACTTCAACAGCAGATGGCACTTCAACAGCAGACTTGTCAATAAAATCGATCAATCAGTTTATGAGAAGACCCCCATGCCACCATAAAGCTTCCCCAACCCTAAGCCCTAACCCTCTAGTCTAGTCACTTACTGCGATCCTGAATTGTCTCCAAACAATTCTCAAATACCCTTCTCTTCAACCCACCCTCCTCACTAAGCGCCCCGATTAGATGCTCAATCCGACCAATCAGTCGGCTCCGGTAGTCCTCGAATTCACGCGGCAACTCCAGCTGATCATAGACCGTCTTAACCCTCGCTTCCGCCACCATATCCGCCAGCCCATACTCCCGCTCGAGGACCGCCCGCTGCGCAGTGTCGCCCTTCAGCAGCGCCGTGACAATCAACCACGAGCACTTGCCCTCGCGGATATCCGTGCCGTCCTTCCCCAGGATTGCCAGCGAACTGTAGTTATCAAAGTAGTCATCCTGGGCCTGGTACAGCTCCCCCATAGGGGTGACGAGCCGCATGCACGCGGCCAGGTTCTCCGGGGAATCCCGTCCGTGCAAGGTCAGCGCCAGCGCAATCGGGAGGAAGAAGGTATAGTATGCCGTCTTGGTATGGGTGATTGTGCGGTACCGGTCCATGGTATGGGTGAGGAGACCCTTCTGGCGCTCCGCGGCCGCCACAGTGTCGGAGATCTGGCCCGCGGCGGTCTGGAAGGTCGCGGCGTGGAAGAGGTTGGCTAGCGACTGGTACATGCCTAGGTTTCGACCCAGGTATTTCTGAAGCAGGACGAAGATTCCGCTGTGCAGGAGGCTGGCGTGCATGGTTGCTACGGAATATGTATTGGCTAGAGGGCTGGGAAGGGTTTTGCTGGGAAGATACTTCACCTACCTAGCTGTCCAACCCCCTCCAATGTGTACCAGCAGGGCTTGCCGCGGCGCATTGAGGACCCGTCGATTAGGTCGTCGGTGATGAGAAAGTAGGCCTGGAGGAGCTCAACGCACCAACCCACCACATTAGCATGTAGGGCTTCGGTTGTGAAGAGCTCGCGGTCCACGAGAATAGAGGAAGTCGAGGCTACGAACTTCCCCCGGCGGCAGTTTCCACCCGTGGTGTTGTACTCGATGGCCTGGTATGGTGAAGGATGCAAAGTTACTTTTCAGTTGCTATCCGGTCTTTGGGTTCCCTATGATGAGTGGAAGCACGGGCAAAATTGACGCACCTTACGGTAGCTTTCCACCAGTTCTGGGCCCAGGCCCATTGCCGTGGCATATTCGCAGAGATCTTGCACCAGAGCAGGGAGGTAGCTTTGGAAGTCGCTCATTGTCGGTGCTAAGTGGTCGATTTTTGATTGACGAATGAGGTTCTCTGAGTGCTTGACGGATAATCCACTCTAGACTGTTCTTGAGACGAGAATTCGTACCCGTAATGTCTTGTCACTATTTATGGACTGGCTCACTTGGATTATCCTGGCTACTCCCGGTGATTTCGACCCCCGGGGTTCATTTGGACAGTCGGGACACAGAAAGTTGACCCGAGCAGACCTCGTCCGATTCGATGAAAAACAACCCGGATCAATGCAACAAAAGTCTTTTTTCTCCAATAAAGAGTGTATGATACGCCATAGAGAATAGATTCTCGTCATCAACATGCGCACAGGACCTGAGCAAAAGAATTCGATTTCTACAATAGTTTATTTATATGCTTATTTTGTCCATACACACTGTCTTTATAGCAGCATATTGTTTATTTCTGGTCACCAAGAGATGAATAATGGCAATTAACGTTAACTCTCATTAGCATAGCACTAAGCCTACAACGCCCCCCAGCGCAACACAGCTTTGACAGCCCTCCCATTCCTTACATCCGTAAAAGCTATCTCATAATCTTTGACCTCGTAATAGGTGACTAGTCGCTCAACCGGAAACTCTCCCTTCTTGTTCAGTTCAAGCAGGTATGGAATAAGCTGGAGTAGTAGTTAGTCTCGCATAAGGTAGAGTGTAAGGAACCAGGGCCTAAGCCATTCAGGTAAACACAAACCACTTGACTACTACTGTCCCCAAGCATCGAGCCGATGTACTGCTTGCCACCACATAGATGCGACAAAATGTCGAGTTCGACCGTCGGCGCCGACGAGGGCATGCCGACGGAGGCGCCTTTCCCGCGCAGTGCTAAGGAATCCATCATGATGCGAATGACGGTAGCCGCGCCCGTGCAGTCGAGAGCATATCGAACCCCAACGGAATCGGTGTCTTGCCGGATCTTACCGGCGACATTCTCAACCTGGGTACTGTTGATGACGTGCGTTGCACCCAGCTCGAGTGCGAGGTCCAATCGTTCCTGGATCCGGTCCACCGTGATGATCGGATGCGCGCCCCGGTGTTTTGCGGCCATGACCGCCGACAGGCCAACAGCGCCGACCCCGAAAAT